GGGCTGCAGAGGCAGGATGCTGCACTCTGCTCAATCCACTTCCATTTCAGTTTCCAGCAAATCAGTGGAGGTCTTATGGGGTTTATTACTACCTGAATTTACAGGTGTCTCCTTGAAAACATCTTGCTGTTTCTACTGCTTCATGGCCAGAGCCCTTTTCCCCCCGTTCAGAATATTTGTGCACATTCAAAGCTGTGCACAAAGCCTGGATGTGCCAGAAAGAATGAGGACAGTGACTACAAGGAAGCAGAAAATGGCAAATTAAAAAGTCTTAGGCATTTAATCAGGCTTGTCACTGCTTTTCCCCTTCCCAACAACCAGCTATAGAAATTTCACAGCTTCCAGGTCTTGGTGCTCTCTGTAGTACAAGATTAATCAGTACTGATCAGCCAGGGCTGCACATCTTCTAAAATCACTGTCAGCTCAACAGAGCTTGAAAACCAGTAGAGAAAATCATTAACAAACCAAAGCTGGCTCAGTTTCCCATGCCCATTGTCTGATGATGGTGGTTTCAAGCTGCTTTACTGGAGCAACAGGATTTTGCTCTTCCAGTTCATTTATGGCAGCGCTGGAACATGAAGCAATTCCTTCACTCTCATTTATTTCTCCAGAAATTTTTTCACAACGATTTCTCCCCCACTGCCTCATAACAAAAAACATCCCACCAGAATGAGAAAAATAAATATCTCTGATCCTCCCACAGGCAGCACCACCCACTTTGGGGTGAAGCACTGGGTGAGCTGCAGCTCTCCAGGCTGGAAGAGAAGGAGATAAAGTCTTGTTTCCTTTTTGCAATTGCTTCTCCATCATGTTTTCTGTGCTTAATGTTTTCACCCTGCACTTCTCCCATGTTTTCTGCCCCTGTTCTCAGGCTTCTGCCAATGAATGGTAATGAGAGCCAGGCTGAATTATCCCCTGGGTTTTCATTTGCACTTGGAGAGTGCTGTGAAGCACCAACTCCTTGGTTTGCTGTAAGTCCCTGCCCATGGACAGCTGTGAGAGCTGGTCACATCCCATGGCACATTACCTGCACATGGTGATCATGGATACAGTCACCATATCCCCATTATTGGGAAAGAAGAACATAATTTCTCTGCTCAACACACAATCCACACTCACACCCCACCCCCAGGGTCTGGGAAGGACCATGACAAGAGGCAGAAGAAGCCCCTTGAGTTTTTGACTGAGAGGGGAAGACACTTCCCTTTAGGCTGAGTATTTAAGGACATCCCACAGCACCTCTCAGATGCACTCTAGAGCCTCAGCAACCCTCCATTCCACTCCATTCCATTCCATTCCATTCCATTCCATTCCATTCCATTCCATTCCATTCCATTCCATGGTGGTTACAGAGACCTGAGATAAGAGGTGCACTCAGCAGCTTACGGAGTGACTCTGGGACTGCCTGATTCATGCAGGGCTGAAGCGTTTTTGCACTTGTGTTTACTGGGGTCTGAGACATCCAGCAGGCTCACTCCTAGTTTAGTCCTAATATGCACCTAATTATCACAACTGCAAGGGAAATTATCCTCAAGAGTGCATTGAGGTAGGACAGGACAGGGGCTGCACCAAGGTTTTCTTGGAGCCCCTTGGGCTTGTTGGGGCTCAGCTTTGCTATCTGATGATTAAAAGCCACCTGATTAAAGTAACAAACCCCAAGAGGAGCAGCATGGGCAAAGAGAAGCTCCTGGGCACTTCCATGCAGCTAAAAGACTCCAAAACAAGTGTTTTGAGGTTAAATGCCCAGCACAAGGCAGCCCTGGTGCAGCCTCATGGAAACCACATGTGCTGCAGAGAGGTTCCTTTGCCGGGCACTCATGACTTTGGCAGGGAGAAAACATTTTAAACATTACTCCTTTTGCATACGTCACTCAGTCCTTTGTGGAATACATGGTGTGCTTTAAAGGGCAGAGCAATTAGCCTCTCTCAGGTCAAAAATCTTTCCCTTTCAGAAATGCCACAGAGCCTATCCATTTACAACACACTGAGCTGCAGTGAGAGCTGCCAGGAGGAGAAACTGCCAGAACTGCACAGCAGCTGCAAGAGGAAGGAGGAAACTATGCAGTGGTGATCTAGAGGCTGGAGAAATTTTGGGTAATCCCTATTCTCAGCCCTGCCAAAATCCTATTGCATAAATCAGCTTCCCTGCTGTTTGGTGGACAGCTCAAGCTTTGAGATCTCCCTGTTGGCTGCTCCTGTCCCAGAGCAAGCTGGGGGATCTCTACCTTCACTCCTGCTCTCGTTTGCCCCTGGTACTCATTCATGTGTTTCTCCTTTTCCTCTCTGTGTGTTCTCTGCTTCTGTCTGCATTCAGGTCTCCCCTTGCTATTCACTTGGAATAAAAACACTGTAAGGCTCCAAATCTAGGGAATTACAGAGATGACCATCCTTGGCAATGCCACTCCTTATTTCTGCACCAGGATGCAACCTCTGCACCAGTGCAGAGGAGGGAAGGGGTTTAGCTCAACTCATACACAGAAGAATGACACTACTTGATAATTTTAGTTGCAGTGGCCTGATGTCATCTAACCCTGGGAAGCCAAGAAGCTGCATTGGCCCAATCTTATTTACAAGGACTGGAAGATTCTTCCTTAAAACACTTAAGAAAGTGGCCAAGAAAAATCAAAAATTCCAAATTCAACCAGTCTGGGTGTCAGATTACCCCTTTTGGGTAAATATCAGGGGATATTTTCCTCTTATTTCCTTTTCCATCCCTTTTCTGAATACAATCCAAGCTCATTTAGCAACAGGGAGGCTGCTGTCATTCAGTTCTCACCCCTGATCGTAGTTGACAACCAAATGAGATGTGCTGGTGTGTGATTAACCCTGAGGAGCCACCAAGCCTGGCTGCTACCAGCACTTCTGCACACATTAACACTGGTCATAAAACCTGCTGAGTGCCAGCAGTTCCCTTGAAAGCTGCTCAGAGAGTGTTTATTGAGGCCTAATAGCTACAAGATACAGATTATATGTAGCAAATAGTGCAGAGCTTTTGTTTTGACACTTCCCTGCAATTAATTAAGGCCATTGGGGTGGGAGTATGTGGGGAAGGTATTTGCAAGTGTGTTAACCTGTTCCCTGAAAGTAACTCAGACTCTGTTGGGATGGCAGAGGCAATCCCCACAGCAGGGCATCCAAGGAAGGCAGTAACTCAGACAAACCCCATTTGATTTTCCCCACCCTTGTGACTCAGTAGTTCTCTGTTGGTGATGGAAGTGTGAGGAGATGACCTGGTCACACTCTTACAAAAATGGCATCTGCAAAATCTGTAGAGTAAAAACTGTGCTGAAAACTCTGCCTGGTGCTCGCTGTCTATCACTGGAGTGGGCTACAAAGCTGGAATAATAGGAATAAGGAAAAGAAGGAGCAAGTATTTTGGCACTGCTGGCATTATACTTCCAATTTTTTTATATAACTCTGTCACAAAGAGTACAGTTCATATAGTCAGGTTTTTTGGTGCAGAACAAATTATTTTCTCCATGGAGGGAGTTGAGAACAGGGTTTAGAGTTAGACTCAGAGGAAGCAGACATGCAACACTATGTTTAGTGCTTCCAGCAGTGAATCCTTTTGCACATACTGGCTATTCCCCTCTGTTGATGAAACCACAATAATACCATGAATTAGTGGTCCAAAGTGCCATTCAACATTCAATCAACAAATTGCACGTATGTTTCTATTTATTCTACGTGAGAATTTAGGAGGTTTAATCAGAAATTTGGGAAGAAATTTTACGTCTTTAAGATAAATAATATTTATATATTTAAGGTAAATAAATATTCCCCTTCTTGTTGCATAAACCCTGTCTTTGTTGCTGACACTGTGAAATTCCAAAGACCTGGGTCATTTCTCATTCACATCACCTTGACCTTCCTACCACTCCCACTGAAACCCTCACGTGGGTTTAGGGAAATGCAGAACAGGACAGAGTAAACAGTTTTAGATTTAAAATGACTTAACTGTACACAACAGGAACAAAAGGAGAAGTGTTTGTAAAGATTACAACTTAAAAATTACACAACCAACCACTATATAAATTGCAAAACATTAAATAGAAAACTAAGCCCTCTGGGGCAGCCAGCCATCCAACAGCTGTAATTCCCCATCACTAAATGTCCATGTATGTCTCCACATTGTGCATTTGGTCCAACACTTCTCCTACCTCCACCATTCTGCTGGATTTGACACAGTGACTCCAGATCAATAGAGAGTAAAAGAGCCCTGCCTACCTGTTGTATATGTCAGCCTCTCTAAAGAGAGCCTTATCCAGCTGATTCAGTGTATCATCAGTTTTAACCCTCTTAGTCACAGAACAGAATTGCTCAGTAATACTCATGGTCTTCATAGAACCAGCTACCATTAGTTCATATGCATTAGGAAATGCATTAAAATTGGTATTTCTCCTTTAGTAAGACAACAGCCAGATCCTGTTGAAAAATCCCTTTTCTCCTGACCAGCTGCTCCCTGTGTGACACACAGATACTGTCTGACATGCACACCTCAGCACCTGTATTGGAGCTAATACTCAGACCAGGAAAAGCTTTTGATTAAGAGAGAACAGTCCCTGATTGCAACTCAAACACAATTATACCGATAACTGCAGTATCAGAAAGATGGTTTTAAATGCACTAGTTATGAGATTGATAAGAATCTTTTCACTACTTAAAATTCATGTTTAAATAGATATTATTAAGCCTAACTTAGTTATTATTGTTCAATTAAAATGACATCAGGCAGCAGCCCTTTCTGAATGCCATAGGATTTACTGCAAAGCTCCCTGTACCACCACTCTTTTCCTAAAGGTTATGGCTGATGTGTGTTACAGGTGTCAGCTGGGATTTTCATCTCTGGTGCAAACCAACACCAAAATAACCCCCACACAACAAATGCATTGTTCAGTCAGTGAAACTGGGGAGCACAGCATTGTTGCTCAATTCTTCACTATCAATCACCCTCTCCCAAAGAGCAGTGCCCCTCCTTGCTGGATGCAGAGGCTCCTTACCAGACAGGCCCTGGCGGTCGGAGTGGCGCCTTTCCAAGATTTTGCATCGCTCCTTTCTCTTCTTGCTCCCTCTGAAGCTGCCAAAACGCTTCATGAGCTGCAACATGCACTCGCGTGGCAGCAGCTGTCGCTCATGCCCGGGGCTGGAGAAAAAAAACCAGCAAGAGGGGCAAGGCGAGGTGTTGCTTTCACCAAAAGCCCAGGTGCGAGAAAAGAACTCTCCAGAAAGACAGCGTGGCTGCAAAAGAAGTGCAGCTGGCCAGCAGCTCAGCTCTGAGGTGCCTGGCTGTGGTCCTCCTGGAGAGCTGTCCTGCAGCAGGCTGCCGACCCTTGCCCGCCAGGCGCTTCCAGCCTTAATTCCGGCATACAGCGGCTGCCCTGCAAGGCTCTGGGGACACGGGGAGAAGTTCAAAGTCTGCCCAGCTTGCAGCCACAGAGCTCTTATACATCAGCTGTCAGAAGCCTCGGAGACCAAAACATTTCCCAGAGGATCAGCCCATGTGGAAAAGGTCAGGAGCCGCCTGATGAGCTGCCTTGTTTAAAAACCACTGACGGTGCGAAGGAGCCACCAGCCCTCTTGAAGGGAACCGTCACGTGCAGCTCGGCATGACGGCTCTTTCAGCAGGCTGTAAAAGGAAACCACCCCTGGACAGACAATTCCTGGCAGCAGTGTCCCAGGCACACTGGCACCACGATGTGACGTCACCCAACTATTTTGATTCACGTGTGCTGGGTCTTGGGAGAGACAGGAGAGCCCAGCTGACTGTCCATGAGCTCCGGAATGCCCAGCCCTCCACAGCTAATGACTGATGGATTCATGGGATCCAGCTCCTGCCAATTCACAAAAAGAAGGCTGATACCTTCTGGAAACCGTAGCTGGAGTGATGAGCTGGAGCTTCTCTGTGACGTGCCCTCCCTGTGCTCAGTGCAGATTGCTCTGTCCAAATTCGCTTTCTGCAAAGCAAAAGGCACCAGCACAGCTGTTTGTAACACAGCTGAATCCACCTCGTGGTCTTTTCAATGAGACAAACATGCACGAGGCTGTTGCTCATCCCAAGCAGCCAGGCTGTGTGATGATGTTTGGCTCTGAGTTTGTACATTTAGAGCTGATATTTTAGGAAAGGGTTGAACGTCGTGGGCTGGATCTTGAGCAGCTGGAGAGGGGTGTAAGTGTGATCCAAGGCACAGTCAAACCATCGTAGCCAACCTTCCTAAGATCATAGTAAATGCTCTGTTAAATCAAAAGCTTTTTTTGAAGTTACAGAGCATCAGCCTTTCCTCTGGACACCATTAGATTGTGAAGCTCAGCTCTTTCAAAAATCAATCCCTATATGAGAAATGAGAGTCTTATCTTTTGACTTCCTAGGAGGAATTGAAGGTTATATCACCTTTTTCCTCTACAAAGAAACATGACTTCTTCCTTGTGCCCATGATTGCTTCTGGGACTTAATATCATTAGGAAGAAAAACAAAGCCCAGCCTTGAAGAGAAAAGGCCTTTATCAACACAGATTCCTTGCAAGCTCTGGTTTTCAGAAATATGCATTAACACAAGGATGTCTTGGGCCTTCAGGGCCCCCAAGAATATGTGCAGAGGTGGCAGCAGGTTCCTCTGTCATCTTCAGCTGCCAGAGGCTCCCCCAGGTCTACCCTGAAGAACGTGGAAGAAGACAGTACAGAGGACACCATTGTTCTTTCACCTAGCAACCAAAACAATCAAATTATTACCAAGACACTTAATTATCTTCCACACAAGGATCTGAACTGATATCCAAGTGAGGCATGATGATAATTAACATGAATTTGTTCTCAGACTTTCCCCTTCTGACTAGTCCTCCCACTTTCTTTTACCCTCATCTCTGTGGCCCTGTTTCAGCTCTGCAAGTGAACATCCTGCTGCTTTTAACAAATAACAATCCTTGCCATAAAATCTCCTGTCAGCACAGTGTGTTTACAAAGCCCCTTCTCCAGCCCCTCCCTTGAGGCTCACTGTTCACCCAGCACAGAGGAGGAGCAAATGGAAAAATGAGTTGAGGAATTAGCAGGGGAAAGTGTCTCTGCTACTTAAATATTTGGTTTAATGTAGCTGTGAGAAGCCTTAAGCTCTGCACACCCCATCTGGCTTTGTGCAGCCACCACATTTACCTGTGCAACTTCATCTGCACTTCACTCTGCCGTGATCATGGCACCACCACGGAGACAGCAGCTGCCCTGGGACAAGCTCTGGCTCTCCCCACAAGCACATTTCAAGTGCTGATTCTCAACCTATTTCCATAAGTACTACCCATTTGAAAACCAGCTCCTCCAAACCAAACCTGGATTCTCCTTGCTGCAAACTAAGCCTAGTAATTCTTCTCTCACCATGCACAGGGACAGCAGCGTTCCTTTCTGATCCAGAGTCACTCCTGGCATATTTGACAACAGTTAATTAGTTCCCTGTCCAGTCTTTACCTGGCCAAAGCCACAGGAAGTGTTGCCTACACCCCCAATGCAGTCTGAACCTCAAGCTCCCTCTATTTCAGAAAAGCATTCCTCATACTTCAGTGGCCAAAGGATTGCTAGGAATGACTTAATGTTATCAGAAAGTAAAAAATTTAAATCCCTTTTTAATGAGATAAGAATTGCTATTGCTTCAGCATGGAAACAGCCCCCCTTTTGATGGAAACCAAGGATAAATAGTCACTGATGACCTTTTCAAGCAGGGCCATTGCACCAGGAGGGCTCATTTCCCCTTATTAAGGGAAGCAGCAAGACTCTAATGTTTCTACACAGAGCTACTAGAAAATGAAACAACACTGTTTAACAACTGACTTTCACAGTAATTTGTTAAAAAAGCACTAAGTGTTTTGAGTATAATCAGTCTGTCTCCCACAGCTAATGGTCTAGCAGATACTTGCACATTTACACCAGGTACTACATCTTCTTAATGATTCCAGTGCAAGGATCTTGTAAAACTAATAATAAAAAGCTGTGCTTCAAAGTGTTCCTTTGGGGCCATCTATGTTCTGGAGATTGAAAACACAAATCCCTTCCATCCCCTCCAAGCAACCATGAAATGTACTCTTGTCAAGCCACATTAAAGTCTCCCAAATTAGTTATCCCATATTATGATTTTTTAGCTGCATAAGGATAACACCGTGCCCCTCCAAAAATCCTACATGAACTCACTCTGAGAGATACCAAGCAATGGGCAGCTTAATAAAATTATTTTTGGGGAAGGAGCAAACAAACACTGGTGTATGTGTGTCAAACATTGCCCTAATCCCACTGTATCTGCCAAACATCAGCACAAAAACCCCCATCCCTGCCTGGGCTCCCTCTTTTTGATGCTTTTTGCTTTTAAGTTCTCCACCTCTCAGGATAAAAGAACCTGCCCCCAGTGATTTACCACGACTCCTCAGGCACAAACGTAACAAAAATCTTTTTTTCTCTGGATGTGATTTGAAGGTTTGTTCTATGAGGTAGAATTGAGTGTTCAGCTTTGGTCACCAGAGAGAAAATATGGAAGATGTCATCACACCAAAGTGCAGCCACCAGACATCAGAGCTTTGAAACACAAACTGATTCATCCATTTCACAGAGGTGTAAGTTCTCTGCCATGGGGAAAATACTTTAAAAACTGGTATTTCAAACCATTTTCTCAGTTGCCTTTTTAACAGGAGCTTGAACCTGATATACAAATGCAGCAGCAGAATACAGAGGAGGCAGTGGGAGCTAGTTAATGCTATCTAATTTATTTTCATGTGAAAATGGCAAAAACAATGTTTTCCTTCTCGAAATTTAAGAGCTCATTTAGCTCAAAACAGGAAAGCTAAGAGAAATATGTATCCCCTTAGTGACAATTCCTGTTTGAACTGGCTGCTGACTGCAAATCAGCAAAACCAAGTATTTCCCTTTCCTCATTGCTGAGAATTTCCTAGTTCAAAATGCCCTCTGTTTTTGTCATTGCTAAGAGAAATAAAGTTCAGATCTATGCTCAGAAAGGTAAAGCATGAAGCATGCTTGCATTTCTACATGGATCATGTTTCTCTGCCACGTTGTCCTAAAAGTTTCCCCTAAACTGGACTTTTTTTCTAATTTTCATTTTTTAAACTCTACCTAATGATGTTGGCAAAATTGAACATTTTAATGCTGTCAGTGGTGCTGGCACATGCTTACATGTTTTACAACACCAGACTGATCTTAACTGCAACCATATTTCATATAAATGTGGAAAATATTTCAAAATAACGTGCAAATAAATAAGAGATCTTTGAGATCTTTGCTCTAAAAAAAAAAAGCCACTCGAGTCCAGGTGATGCAATGCACAATAACAAAAAGGCTCTTTAGCCTGAGCACCATTTGCAGGCTGATTGAACTGAACATATAGCCTATGTTTTCAAAGAGAAACACAAACTACCACTTTCTCCATCTGGTCCAAGCCCAGCTCACACCCCATAAAAGAACTGCAAGTTTATGACTCCAAGCTGGGCTCAATTACTTCCCATAATCATAACCAAGTGTTTCTGTGTAACGAGCTTTCGTCCCCCTTTTTTAATACTACTTCATGCTGCTTTCACTGTACTTTAAGAAAGGTTTCAATCTCTGAAAAATCTGTCAGAAAAATCGAAAAGTTTAATTTCACTTCTTTCCAGCAGTCCCCTAAGGTGCACACTGTATTCCCCAGAACTCTTGGTAAATTACTTATAAATTACATCCTGGCATCTTTGTGATGTTTTCCTATCCTACCTTTCCAGAGCTTTAACACAAACCAGCAGGAACAGGGGTAACAGCAATGGTAGTGTTGGCATATTGGTGATTTCTAGTAAGAAAAACACTTTTTCAGACCCAGAAAAGCAATAAGCTGGGACTGATGACTGTGATCCCATCCAAATGATAATTTTATCATTTCCCCACATCCTTCTAATAAACCTTGGTGCATATGTTTCCAGCACTCACTTCAACAATTTCACATCTATTGTGAAAAACTGAGCTGTTTTTAAATGCATCACCATCTGGCTGTGCTCAAAACACCAAAACAGTATTTGATCCAGGAAGTACAAGATGGCTGGTGACAACACCACTTCTAAAATTTAGTAAGTTCTCAGATAAAGAAAAACATCTCAGCAGTAACTTCTACAAAATAAAAAAAATAATGCAACAGCAGAGATAATAAATTCCTTAGAAGAATTTTCCACTTGGGCTTTTTTCATCTCTTCTTGCTTCTCTTTCTTCTTACTTCTCTGAAGTCTTTCAAATATATTGATCCACAAAACCTTGAGAAGGAGATAGAATTCACTGGAACATCACAAATCTCCTTTTTGTTCTCTTCTTGTCCTCCTTTCTTTACTGCTTCTTCATTTCTCATGCAGAATTGAAACAGATTAAATGATGTTAAAGTTAAAATGGGCATTGTAGGGCCTTCAGTTTAAATTAAAGTCTTAAAACCAGCACTGAATGCATCACAAAGGGAATGTCAGCAAATGAAATAAGACAGAGATTGCTCAAAAAAAGTAATATGTTAGGGATGGCCAGTGCCTGAAAAGTGAAATTTATATGACTATCCCAATATTGAAGAGTA